CAAAATGCGTGAAAGGAACACACGGTGTTGGTTATTCGCTCTGATGCCACGGTTGCAAATCGAACGTGTGTTAAGAAAAAGTAGTTAACGATTTAGAGTACTTGGTACTCTACTATGAGATAGCATAAAGTCGTCCCGTGCTCAGTTGGTGCATATATTTGGCGGCATTCACTGTTCGACGACTGCGAAACAGGGAAGACGAATAGGGGAGAAGTTTTACGGCTCCTGCGAGCCACTGAATGACCGTGGTTCTATACGCTGTCTGCACCAGTGGCCGGCGTCTCCTGCCAGCACTTTGTACAGATGAGGAACAATGTATGCGTATTCACAGACTTTCCCATTCGTTACTTTTCTTGTTATACTCCTTTAACAGATTTACACCTTATTTCTGCTCATTTTACACTCTTTTTCTTTACTGCCTTCGCAAGCACTGGTGCGCTATAGCCAAAGCTTCGCGGTCGTTTGCGTCCGAGGCCGAGTCATGGAGACGAATGCTCGGGCAATAAAACTTTGCGAGTTTGTGCGCAGTCGTTTCTTTTGGAGGTAAGGGTAGAATAGGGAGCACTATATGTTCGCGAGTTATGACCGCAGGCCACCAGAGTTGGCCCGGGTAAAAATGCATCTTGATACTACCATGACTTTTCGGTCTCGTGTGACGCATAACGCGCGATGGCCATAAGCATTTGAGATATTAAGTGATAAACGGCTTGACTGATGTTGGCGAAAATGGTCGTACAGTTTTACGGCCGCCATTCTCTCAGTTCACGCACTGTGCAACGCAAGTGGTTGGCAGAAACGGTGGATGCACGATTTTTTTTTTTCGAGTGTAGCTTGAGCTTATGGGAACCACTGCCTTAAATTGAGGGCTGTCACAGCGTCTATTGAACTTAGGCAATCAAGGAATTATGAATGGCGTGAACTTTTTATGGAGTCAATAAATATGAGCAAGGAGCATCCAAAATCATTCTCGTAAAAGTTAGAAGCATTAGTAAGTGTGCATTGCCAAGCAGTTAGCGACAGTCTAACATGCTACAGAAGTATTCGCAAATAGTGTATACGGATGGGAGCCATTGCAGAATAGCCGGCAAAATGTTAGAACATAGCACGCTTTCGTTTCCATTTCGCGAGGTGGAGTAATAGTCATTTTTGACGTCGTTTTCGTGATCATACTAAATAAGCACAGCCGGACGACAGCATTTCCCAGCGATAGACAATCGCAGTACGTACCATCTTATACCTCCGCAAATTTCATCCCACAATCCGCTCAACCTCCCTCCTTGGGAGCACTTCTATTTTTCCGGAGCCGCTCACCTGTACGTCTAGCAGTAGCCTGTGAAACTCAGTTTTTATTTTTATTCAACTCTACAACAAGCTGGCCCGGTTCGCTTTCGGTAACCCACACCCTTTGCCTTATCCTTTTTACGACAATGGCTGGTGGACGGAGCACATAGAACACCTTCAAGCTGCTCAACAGGGTGTTTGAAAGATCCTATCTCTAGCCCATTCTGAGTCGTCGTCACAACGGTCGTTCTATTTCCCTCGACTGACCTCGTTCAGGATACGGCACTTTTGAGTGGGCAACGCGCCCGAGAGATAGTATCGAGAAGGCCGAGCTGTCGTTTGGTAGATAGCCAACGACAGCGACGTACTTGCTCTACAATGTGTCACGATGACACCTAAACGAAATCAAATGTATCATGTGATGTGGCGCTCCTTTTTTTCACGGGGTTCTTCGGTTAAGCGTAGAGAAACGCACCGATTGTGCTATACGTTCAATGGTGTTGCAAATTAGTCCCATATGCGTGACCACATATGACAGCACGTCGAGTAAATTGAATTATGCGACATTGTGTAACTAAAGTCATGATCGCATTTTTATTGTATGTTGGACTCTCGTATAGTTACTCGTGTTAAGCGCTGTAGATGTCTTGCTTTATGGTTTTTACGTTATCATATACTCATTACGTACACAGACTCCATCATACTTGACGAATGTTTAGATTCAGCCTTGTCAAGACATGAATGCAACGTAGAAAGCTACTGAGCCTAAATACTGTAGGGGTGTAAATATTTGTGCCCGTTCAGGATTCATGCTGAAAAATGTTTAAAGGTTAACAACAGCGTGGAACGACACAGACGAAAGACAACACACGAAGAGATTCGTCTGTCTTTTTTATTTTTTGTGTTTTTTATTGCTGTCATCGTCTAATATACCGTGCATGGTCCCGGCCTTCTTCTCAAACAACAAACAATAAATTTAAACACATCAATACGATCTTGTCTGAAGCTTATGTGGCCATTGATGACGTTTTTGTGACTGCATGCAAGGGTTTGATACGTATGCGTGCAACACGTGCGTCTGCCTAAATTTAGAAGTCACCGCGCATGCGCAATATATAGGCAGAGTTTCTTTTTATTATCGCAGGCCACATACGATACCTGGGCTTGCGTTGCAGTGCGCTTACAGCTTATCATAAGATTACTTCAAGTAGTCGTCGTTTTGGAGACTTCCTACTATAGAGATTTCTAGTGTTGACTTTCACAGTCAAATTTGCACCTGTACGTATCACACATTTACACCTTTTTGTACTGATTACATCAAATTACTGCGTCATTTATGCTCTGGGCTTTTAATAACGATGACCATTTGTTAGACAGCTAATATGTGTGACTTTATTTCTTGTGTGTTTGATATTATTACTATTTCGTGCTTGGCCAATGGTAATTGCCATTTAGTGTTTTTATTGTTACAATTCTGTTGACAGAATCCAAATTAAAAAAGGGTGTAAGGCTGGGAGACCTGATCTTTCCCATGTTTACAGGAGATCTTCAGGGCCCTAGATTGGGAAGAGTTAGAGATAACGAGTTAATGGAGAGTATCTTAGTGACCGGTGATTTGCTGATGACATTGCCTCGATGAGTAAATCAGGGGACGAATGACAGCTCAAGATTATTGAACTGGACACGGAAGGCAGAAAAAACGGTCTGAAAATAATATTCTCAAATATTAAAGTAATGTGCAACAGCCTCGGCATAAAAAGAGCACTTTGCGATGGGTGGAGAGACGCTGGAAGTTGTAAAGGAATATGTCTACTTAGGCCGGGCAGTAACCACAAAGCCGAAGCATGAGAGTGAAATAACTAGAAGAATAAGGATGGGATGGATCACGTTCGGCAAGCATTCTCAAATCGTGAATAGTAATCTGCCTCTAACCTTCAAGAGGAAGGTATATAATAGCCTGCAACCTATACGCAGCAGTAGCCTGGATGCTTATAAAGAGGGTTCAGCTTAAATTGAAGACGACGCAATGAGTGATGGAAAGAAGTGACAGGTGTAACCTTGACAGACAAAAGAGCATAATGTGTCAACGAACAAACCGTGGTTAAGGATATCATAGTTGAAATCAAGACGAAGAAAGGGACATGGATCAGGCACGTAGCACGTAGGCTGAATAACCACTGGTCGTTAAGGGTAACTGACTATATTTCCAGAGAAGGCAAACGCTCGAAGGGGAGACAGAAAGTTAGGTGGGCCGAGCAGTATTAAAAAGTTCGCAGCTATAATGTGGCAGCAGAAAACACAAGACCGGATTGTTGGCGGGTCATGGGAGAGGCCTTTGCCCTGCAGTGGGCGTAGTCAGGCTGATGACGATGCCGTTAGGGACACTTTAACGCTTTTGCTGGCTCACTATTAGTGTAAATACATGTACCAAAGAATATGACACGTTGTTTGTTGGTCAGGAAAATGCTGGAAGAATACGCGGTCAAAGAATTGCTGCTGCGCGCTCAGAACAAGAAGATTCGCATTGATAGGGCCACTTCACGAAAGTAGGGCTAAGCGCCGTTCTTATTTACCGTCATTACAGATGTTCCAGTGAACTATTTAGGCTGCATCTACGAGTATTCATCTGTAAAGCTAGTAATAATGAAGTCACAAATGGTCTTCTGAACATTAATAAGATGAACTGATCACGTGAGGAGGAGTGAATGAGTGAAAAGTCAGCGACGTTACAGGCAAAGAAACTGCGGGAATAAATGCTATCGAGTTATGGTAGGTCATTATATATTAATATAAGCCTTCTTGGACTGAATATATTGTAATGTGGAATGCTTTTAAAAGATCCAGGAACCTCTATCGGATTTGTTACAGCAGGTACGTCGACTGAGCGATCTTTCATTTTCCAATTATGAATGTCAACAAGACTATACGTTTGAATACGAAGTAGATCTCTCACCATACCAAGCACATTAAACGCTGCTAAGCACACTTATTTGAACCTCCCGCTTAAACGATGCCAAAAGCGGGGCACTTAGCGCAATGCTTTTCCCAAAGGGAGCATTGAGACGGTGGGTGGAACACATCTCGCGGCGTTTTTTCCCCGTTTAAGGCGGGGGAATATTAATAAGCCCTTTTCGCACCCTCTCAAGAAAGGCACCGAAGAGAGAAGCGAGAAAAGGTTAACGGTTCTCGACGTTGCCACTCTGGGCTCCCTCCAGACAGAGGTGAGGGGAGGCTGGCGGAAGATACGAACGTCGAGTCAGCCTTCCTTTTTCGAAATAAACTCCTTTCAAGACTAGCAGAGAGGGGGAGGCTGACCTCCCTGGCCCCGCGCCAGCTGCGAAGCAAGGTAAAGCACACCTGGTGAGGTCCCATCAGGAAAGTAGCTCGGCAAAGAACGAGATGGATTCCGCGTGTCTCAATAAAAACCAAGAACGAACGGGTCGTCGCTGGAATGGCATGACGCCGATCTCCGAGGTGTGGGAGGAGGAAGACGGAGAGCAGTAAGGGACGAGCCGAAACGTCGTGCGTCCTCCATGTAGCGCCACGCTCGCAGGCATAACGAAAAAGAAGAGGAAGAGTACAGAGGAGGGAGAGGCCTAGGTTGGGATGTAGAAAGGGAAAGAAGGGGTGAGTCACGTGATTGCAGCCAGCGAGTCACTCAACCTGTTTCTTTGTCTTTTTTTTTTTTGTTTCGAGACCAACGGACGTCGGCGGCCCGGTTCGCGCCGAAACGTTCGGCGCCAGCTCAGTCGCTCGCGTGGTGGTTTGCCGTGCTGTCGCTTACCGCGGGAACTGGGTTGCGTCGCGTAAGCAGCTGCTCGAGGTGTTCCGATGACGACCGGCTGCGGCGCAACGCGGCTTTCACCGGGCCCGACCCGCGGCTGGGTGTGACGTCAGCGAGAAAGCACGTGACTCCTAGAGCGCGGTGGCCATCTTGGGGTTCTGAGCCAAGGGTCCAGGATACTGGTGGTGTTTGTAGTTCATTTTTTTATTTATCGAATTTTTTTTCGCTTCTGCGTGGTTCTATGTGCGCGTGTGTGAGTGTGTGATCACTCCTTCCGGTTTCGTGGGAGGCTACGATGAAACTGACAATGGAGAGTGATAAACTCCGGCGTCTGTGTCTTGTGTGCCCTGTGGGATACCTGCTTTGGCTGGCTGGACTTCCGTTGACCATTTCGGGTGAGTTCAACTTTCATGCTGGTCCTTCCGGGAAGTCTTTTGTGGAATTCCATGTTATTATATTACTGATGACGACGCAGGCATAAGTACAGAGACCAGCACGCATATCCATGCAGTGTCTTCCTAAAATATCACTGATTGATACTGCTGACTTCGTGTTTTTTCACCACCGACATGTTTAGTTTATCCACAGATAACATGCGCAACATGTCTGTGTACACTTCGCTACCCTGCGAAAGCAATATACCCTTTAATGGACTTTGGCATCTACATTGCAAAGTTGAAGCAAAGGACAAGGGTGGATCAGCGTATTATATTAAAGTTCGAGAAGAACCGTTGAAAACAAGTCTCAGTAAAGACATGCCTTCCTCAAGTTCTTCCCTGTTAAGGAACACAATCATGAGCGGTTCTCGTCGTTAGTAAATCAGTCCACTATAACAATACTTACAGTACAAAGTTCCATTTCTGTAAGAATATGTTTGCTTATGAGTACGTTGTGAGAAAACGTTGCCAATTCATTATAAGCGCAACAAAACTTGTCTTAACGTGTCAGGTGAGCAGCGTTATGGAACTGCAACTAAGGCATCGCCATAAAGAGAAGGTAGTTTACGGACGAGTAGGCTTCTAGAGCAGTAGTCACGTCAGTTCTCATATTTAAGCGAGTCTGACTCCAAAGAGCAAGTGAAGGAAGTTAGGAAAGGACACAAAGTGCAAAGCGAGTTTTGCAATTCCACGAAACGCAGGCCTGGCATTAATAGAACCGGTTGTTCTTTCGTTTGGTATATATATCCTCGGATATGAATGCAGCAACAGTGCTTTCGCTAATAAAGAGTTTTTGTAGTTGAGTCTAAAAGAATGTATTGCCAATTTTTTTCATTGTATACCTCATTAGTGATCATTTGGAAACAAAATGATTTAACTGTAGGGCCCATGCCATGTGAGTTTATAAAACCCAATGAGGACAAATTGAAAAAAAAAAAGGACACCGACTAAGAAAAAGAACACAATAAAGGCGTTTCTGCTCCCCTGATGGTAGCCTTGTTCACAATCTGCTGAAACGTCTTTTTATTGTATTCGTTGTCAAGGTCGGTGTCCTTTTGATTCTCCCATGTTTCTTCTCGACTAGACGGGCTTCCGTCAAATCCTCGACTGCAAACCTTAGTGCCCTGCGTAAGGTATGAGGCTTCATTATTGTGGAGAGCGCTTCCTTTGTTAACCACCCTCCCTTCTAGGATGATGCTGCAAGTATTCTCACTCAACCTGATGACTCACTGATGACTGCTTCTGGGCAATTTTGCACTTTTATTTCTTGTACCTTGTCATTCTTAGATTGGCTGCTTAGATTGCTTAGATTGCTTAGAAGTTGCTTAGATTGGCTCTAAAAGCATTCTTCAGATTTCTTGAAATTCTCTACCACTCCTTTGTGGATATGTGTCATTCGAAGAGGACCAAGAAAACAAAAAACACAAGCTTGCAACCAATCGCTCGATGCGTGGAACTTATCGGGACGTACTCGGCCTTAGGTCTCCGTGAGCTGGCAGGCCGCTAAAGGCATACCACGTCACCTGCGCTGCACGTTTCTCTGAGCACCCTTCAGAGTATTCTGCTTCCATGAGAAGTTGTGGCATTAGTATTGAATATTTCAATTGACTCTGCCAGAAAGACACCGACTCGCAGCGATGGTTGGGGATCCCATGCATTTCTCTCCCGTTTCGCCATTAGCGAGACTTTGAATCCACCCAAGGCAAGAAAGAATATAAATAGGTTTTCTTGAGACTCACTCTGACATCGGGAATATCAGTGTCCATAAAAATAAATAATTGAAGACAGTGGCACGCAACGGCGTTGGCGGAGAAACCAATTTACGACTCCGGCCGTCAATGTTGTAGCTTTTAGCTTGCAAAGAAGAAAAAAAGAGAGATAAAACTGGTACTCAAAGCAACTTTCGATGACGTTCTATTCTACACGGGGAACGTCAAGGCATTAATTTGCAGGGATTCCTTGATACTTCGACGGCGCTAGTATTGTGAACTACGTGGGGCATTTGAAACAGGAATTCTCCGCTGACTTCCAACGTCTTCACATAATGGAACTTGCGCCTTCAAACAAAGCTCAGAAGGTCTTTATTGCATGAAGGTTGCTACATTGTCTTTTATATAAATCTCGGATAAGACCCGTATGCTGTCTTCTGAAGCTGTCGAAGGAACTGTTGTCAGAGTTTTCGTTTAGAAAACGCAGTGGGTCGGCTCTTTGTTTTTTTCCAGCCATATGACGTGGCGACCAGCCTGGCTTCCAGCAGTCGTCCGGTCCAGCCTTGTGGCCCAGTTACGTCCGGCGGGCATACGTAATGCCCGGAACAGCTTTTTAATCGTGGCTCTCGCGTCAGTTCTGAGACGTGGTTTTGCGGGAGCAGGAAAAGCGGCGACCGCAGGAGGCGGCCCGAAAACAGGGTCAAAGCCTTCGAGCTTTTCCGCACGAACGATAGAGCGAGAGCGACCGCGTCCGGGCCAAGAAAAAAAAAAAACAAAAAAAAACACACACACACACTCGCTCGGCCGCTTTTATAAAACGCGGGGTTTCTGTCCGCAGAGAAAACAAAAGCATTCGGCGCCTGCATGGCTCCATCGTCCACGCAAAGGCGGGTTATGCGTCGGGTGCCCACCTCCGCCACGCGATGCCGCTTTCGACAGACAAACATTCCTCGCTTCCCACGACAGGAAGCCATGCGCAGCGCCGAGAGCAACGGTCGAACCACGGTGGGTCGAACGCTGCCTCCGGCAACAAACACACCTCCTTCGGAATCACACGAAACACAATTCGCAAGGCGCACCATATACGCGTAGAACGCATTTAGTCGATACTTTTCATGCGCACGATAATGCTGTAGAATACGTGTGGTTGCACCACGAATAAGCGTTATGGTACCTCAGCTATTGCGTGCTTGGGTCACCATTGACGTGCACTCTTTTCGTAAGCACCACTTCTTTCATTCAAGCAAGGTTGCACTAACGCGTCTGCATCTAGGACCATGTTTTTTTGTTTGCAGGCGTATGACAACAGCGCCGTTCAGTGAAAGTGAACCATAAAAGCGGTGAAAGTGCTCGCATTAGCAGTGGCTATGCGATGCTGAAGTCATCTTATATATGGAGCACTGAAAGCTGCTTGGGGGAGGGGGAGGAAGGAACAAGATTTCGTACACTTTCGGTGCTTGCCCAACGGGTTTTAAGGGGACTGTTTGTTCGTGAACATTGTAAAAAAAAAAAAAAAACAGCGCAATAGACAGCGCAGTGAACACAAAGCGCTGCGTCCCGTGTTCACTTCCCGTCTTTGGCCATGTTCTGCCACAATTTCCCGTACATTTTTTTTTTAATTTTTGATTCTCAACGTAAGCTTAAACACCTAACACTGGCCAGAAGCCAACAGTTGCAAAACATTTTAGCCGGTGCCGAACGTTAGGGATAGGACAAAGACCGAACATGAGCAAGGTTTCTTTCTAGGACTAGACTCGTGTAATTTCGATATGGTTCTGTGCAGCTTCACAAATTTCAGCTACGTTTAGGTTCCGCATAATTTGCGCACTCGCCGTAATACAAACTGCTTAGGGCTTTTACCGTCTTGCATGTGCTTGATCCGGTTGCACTAGATATCAGTATCGTATAGATGGAACAAAGTAAAGGAAAAAAAGAAAAAAAAACATAGCCGGCATGAATAGGCATTATGAAGATAAGCTCACTTGCACTCATTATTACATTTTAAGGCTTCTTTGCTCTTCGAGTGTGAAGAGTTTCCTTTGATATGTCGAGATAACTTGATAACGCTGTAGTCTACAGGACATAGCAGTTTCCGCTCGAAACTATTCTGTCAAATCATGCATGAAGGATAATGATTGTTGACATGACAATGTGAAGAACTGTCCCTGCTACGCGGAATACATGTCTTATGAGGCTTCGGCAGTCCCTACACACGTACGTATTGAGTAAATGTCCCGAATAAGCAATTGCAGTGTAAATAATGATTCTACCATTGAAACTGAGAAGTTCGGCGCAGTTTTTCAGAAAGCAGTTGACTTGCGTAGCAACCATATAAATATAGCTGTTCGGATCTATAGATTTTTCCTCTTTTGGACATTGGTAGCACAGAGAGCTACGGGGCAACGCAGTCCTTCACAGTCGCCGGCCTTCAATGACGGTTCGTCGCGTCACCGAGAGGTCGCACGTCGGTGCCCGCCGGCGAAGTGTGTAGATATACTTACTCGCGAGCACCATAATCACCCGAACGAAGCTCTCGATATTCCTGTCGAACAGTGGACAATGTCTGACACATGACGCATGATAAGTAGATGTAAATACGCAACTATAAACGGTTCCTGCCTCGTCTGTGCTCAACGGTAGGCTGATACGAGATGTATAGATAGTAGGGCACAGTGTCCTTGCATCAAGTATCTATAGAAAACAAAGAATGGTGATCGGCGCTTGGCAACCATTGTTCGGCTAAGATACGCTATAGTGTGACAAGGCATAGAGTGGTATTGAACGTTGGGTGGAATAAATACTAACGAATAAAATAATAAACCCGCGCCCTCGTTAGCGAGTCGTGAAACGTTTGTTTCGTTCTGTTGAAGCTGGACTTCAGAAAACGAAACAACCTGGCGTTTAGTGATGTTTGCTTTGATAATTCACCTGCTGACGAGGCACATTTCTAAGCGCGCGAGTAAAAAAAGATGTGCTGGACACGTTGAGCCGAAGACATGTGGGATGATGTTTCAGGTGTCTGTTAGCCAGTCCTGGATAGAAATAATTTTTCTAGATATGACTTTTTCTCTTTGAAACTCTGCGCATCTCCTGTATGACCAGTAGTTGTTTTAACTTGGCGTAAATAAAACTGATCATGAATAGTCTTTTAGCTCGTCGTGGAGTTCTTCCTAATGTTATTTCTAAGTAAAAAAGTCTCGAAAATATATAATTGCCAATTGTTCATCAGAATGTGGATAGAAAAACTTT